TACATATTTAATCGAATCACAAGTATATACTTAAAATAGACCATTAAGTTATTTATTTAAAAATATTGTCCATTCTTAATTAGTTGTATATCTCATATCAATTGTTTCGCTTCTGAATTGTCACGATCAATCGGCGAAGTGGGCGCGGCCGATAAATTAAACTCGTGCGCAGCGCACCTGCGATTTGCAAATTAGTTACGATTGTCACAACGGTTTCCGGCTACTTGGCTTTGGAATTTTACTAGCTGGTCCGCAAATAGAATTATTGTTTATAGGCCTATTAATTTACGCTTAGGTATTTTACTGTTGCGGTTAATGTGTAAAGCGTTCATTGAATAAATTCATGTAGACTGTTCTTACAAGATAATCTAGTCTATCTTTAGAGGATTTTAAGTATCTCTTTTAAAACTTAAAGCCGCACTTCTAAACAAAAATTTTATATTGTTCTGTTGTGCTATCGTAATTTCTTTATTTCTGTGTGACACAGTCAAATATACACGCGGACTATGTACTTCTAACTAACGGATTTTACTTAAACATTACGGATAGCCTTCATCTTCAACCCCACCGTGACCTCGATAGATCATGGTGGGGCGTAGTTTATTTAAATTAAAACTAAATTAAATAATATATTTCGGATTGTAAACCGTTAAAAGTATTTACACGGTAGTTGAACACTATTGCGAGTTCTAAAATGGCCCAAACGCATTGGCTGCACGTCTTTTCAGATATCTTTAACGTATGAAATAAAACTCAAAAAATAAAAAATCACAGAATTTACAATTGAAGTTTTCATTGGCGCCTAACGTAGATTTGTAACTGTGACACAGGAGTCAACGCTCACCTCCTAATTCAACACATTTCTTTTAATTTCTATACACTAAGACTAATTTACTTTTTATACGACTTAAAAGGGCTGTGTAACACAATCTTGAAGCGTTCATAGATGTGTATCTTTTAAATAAAACACTTTTATAAATTAAAAAACGATTATAAATTTAAAAAAATATATGATTCTAATACATATTACATTGCAGGTGAGGTGCATGTATCAATAAGTTGAAAAAAAAAACGACAATGCCGTATAGATCTCGGTAGCTCAATTGGTTAGAGCAACAGCACGTAACGCTTAGGATGCCGGTTCAAGTCTTGCCCCAGTCGTAATTTTTTTCAATTTATAATAAATTTTTAATTCATATAGTGCCATCGAGTTTAATAACCTGTTAAAGTTTTAACACTTTTAACAGTTTGAAACGCGAAATATATTGGATAACTTGTTTTTAATTTAATTTAATTGCGACTCGACGTTTTGGGTGTTATTTTATTCGGGTTCAAGCGGTACTGATGCAAAATATCCGAAACTTGACCACTTGTGTTGAAACATTTATCGAGATGAGAGATAATAGTGACAGTGTCATCCTGAATTAGTAGTTTACTCACTTTCTACACATTTTTGCGCAACTTAAAATTCAAGAACAACAAGTCAGAGCACATATTATAAAGATTATCTTCAGTAAAATCTCTTTTTAAAGCGTTTTTTTACGATTTCTTTTATATCATTATTTATTCTTTTATCTTTCTTGCTCTATAACTCCAATTTATACGAGTTAAATAAGCAAATAAAAAATCATACTATTTTTTTAGTGACAAAGAAGAATTGACGAGCATGTTCGTATGGTAAAAACTGAAATCTATACTAATATTATAAAACTGAAAGGTTTGTTTGTTTGTCAGCCATTTTGGTTTCAGTCTGTGGATTTGCGAACAACCAAAGAGAAAATAGATCGACAGCGCATTTTATTAAGATGACTTATTGCTGAGGTACATTCCCCATGCGTGGACCCTCTTCTTTCGTTAAAAGGTACTTCGATATTTTAACGAGGTCATGATAATTATAAAATTATATAGAAAAATGTTGAACCTTGAGAATCGAACCAGCGACCCGTTGATATATTACAATATTCTAGTCGTGGAATTTAACTTCCCGGGTTTACAACCCATGAACCGAGAGGCAAATGAGCCACTGCTGTCTAACAGATAAAACAAATATAGAGATGTAATTGTTATACCATAATGACTTAAGAACAAGTAGTTAGGCAGTATTTAGTACTATTTAAAAGAGAATTGAATAGACGATAAATATTTACGAATGAACTTTGACTGAAAACTTCATAACAGGAAACTATTATTGTTAGCTCAAGGTACGTAACACAGTTTACATCATTAAAACAGTAGGCAAATGCCGCTGTTGGAATTACGAAAGTGTCTAAAACTAAGAAAAAATATTCTATTTACAAGAATTCATTCTGGGATTATTTTATAAGTACTTATAATTAGTTGATCTGCGTTCTTGTTTTTTTACATTTGTAGATAACTCGTCAGATATAACTAATTATTTGTAGTCTACGTGAATAGTACACATTTAAATAAAATACTTTTGTCGGTTTAAAACGTGAAACATATTAGTTAACTAATTTTCACCTTATTTTAACTACGTCCCGACGTTATGGACGTGCTTACAGATTTGCGAAAAGCAAATAAATATAAGACAAGTAACATATTTCGCGTTTTAAACTGTTAAAATTGTTTTATATAAATAACTATACAAGTTTCGATACTTATTAAATGATAAGCATAAGAGTTGTTCGTGAAATATGTTTATTCAAGCCATTGGTAAATAAATCACTTACTACAATATGTCCAAAAACTTTTATTTTATAATTTTTGTTAATTCAGTATCTAATTTTACGGAAATATGAATAAAAATAATATGAATTATGTTCAACTGTTCCCAACACACTGTGGCTAGGCTTGCATAATTACTGCTCATACGACTGTGATGTCTCGATTACAGAACAATACCCTAACGTAACACGCCGTAAACATGCAATTCTTCCGATTTTTTCCGACAATTAATTATATTATGTTTTCTACTGTTTGAGTGATTGTTGACTAGGCTCTGTGTCTCACGTCTACTACTTAGGTTATAGGGCAGACACACAAATTAGTCCGTTTTAAAAGTGACTTCTTCTTAATCGATTTTTTTAGGTATTAAATTCTTGTCAAATTTTATAATAAGACAGATCATGCAATGAAGGTGATATGTTTATTTAGTATTTGTCTCCGGGTGGTACAGATTCAATCAGTTTTAACGGTTTAAAACGCAAATCGAGGCGACAGCAGTCAATGATGTTGAACTAGTCATTTAAAAGAAACGCCTTTTTGGATCTTCTCGTCTCGAGGCAATGGCTTATATTAATGGGTCGCGGGTTCGATCCCCACTTGGTTCAATATTTTTCTAATCAATTTATAAATTTTCTAAAACACGTCAGATCTGGATATTATTTGGTGGTATGAATATCGAATGCATAGATGAAAAAGCCATGAAGTTCAAACGTAATCCGGTTTCAGTCTTAATTTCCGAATATTCAAGGCCAAAATAGGTCCTCCAGCGCATCTCGTTTAGATGTTGGCTGCGGTAGGTATTTCACCACCTGCATCTTATAAAGAATCGCAATATCGTTAGCACAAACAACGGTCGAGTCAACTTTGCATTCAATGCGCACAAGGGAAAGCGGGTTGCGTTAATCTAAGCGTACCGTCTTGCATACAATTTCCCACGCTGTACGAGTCTTTCCCCGTTAGAGGCTTTCACCAAAATCGGTATCATCTAGTCGAAATTCAGTGGTGAATATCTATCACCATCTAATACATCTATCGTGAAACATCTAAAGAAATACTGAAAAATCGACGAACGACCTAATCAACTGGTACCCACGAGAAGGCAAAAGAAGTATGGAGGGATTAGTAACCAGATAGGAGCAGGATTTGGAACATGCAGCGAAACCAATGTGGCAAAGAACAGCTCGTTGTAAGACATTGTGGAAAAATATGGTAGAGTACGAACCCAATGATTTATAATGAATGTTAATATTAAAAGCCCTAACTAGTTAAATATTATTTAAGATATATTGAAAAGACAAAACAGTTGGTTTGTCTATCTTTGTTTTATGCTAAACGTTTTTTTAATGAAACATAAACTTTACCGATATAAAATTTATTTATTTCTTGCCACAGAATTGTAGTATAAACTGTTCGAAATGTCAAAAAATATAGATAATATGCGGCATGTTTTAAACCGTTTAAAAAGTTTAAATAAATGTACCCCACTCTTATGAACCGCAGACAATACCAATCTTATAACTGATTGGTTCGCATTACGCTTTAGATGTAGGTGAAAAATCTTTATCATTGTAATTGGTGTGTCACAAAGTGCCTTCACTGAATGTCAAAGAAAATGGGTCAAGGTGCAACACCTAATGTATCACTTTGTGACAATGAAATGTCTGACTGAACCAATTATTATTGTTAATAGTACATTTTATATAATAAATACATAAAGTTTTAATTATAATATAACAAATGGCAGCATATTTAAAATATAACTACGGGAAAGAATGCATTAGGCGGCCATCTTGCTGAGCTTCAATCTCCCATGATTTAGTATTGTGTGTAGTTTACGTGTGTAGTACACGTTCAAACAAAACAATTTTAATGGTAATGTGTAACTATGAAATTATTATAACATAGATTGTTCTGTAGTTTACAGACTCTTCTCATTTAACAAGTGTTTTATGAGAATAATAAGATTGACGGGACAGTTTGACACGAGTATTGTTTTATATTTGATACGATATTTTATTTTGCACATGACATCGGAGACCTTTTTCTATGCAAAATCGATATTTAATTTATATACACCATTTTTTTATTAACATTGATAATATATAGAGTATTTTTTATTTTAAAATAACTTGCACACTTGGACAAGACTTGCACCGGCATCGTCAGCGTTCCGTGCTGTTGCTATACCAATTGAGCTACCGAGTCCTACATCTCATCGTAGTATTTTTTATCTGTAAAATTGTATTCAAACCAAACCCGATATCGATTTATATCCCTATAAAACTCGTCTAAACTTAATGTTTTAACTGTTTCAGATAATATGGGCAGCCAGCGGCGGCGACGGCTATAATTGCCCATATGGGCAGAATTGTGGCTTTGAACCAGCGCCTCCAGGAAAGTCACCACCCTGTGCACAGCCAGGATTGACGTACTGCCTCCATCCAGATCAATATCCAGAGTTAGTCCTGCACAACAATTATTTAGTCACAATATCTTGAAATAAAACACTTTAACGGTTTAAAACGCGATATATTTTAGTTACTCTTGTTTGATAATTAATTTCAACTACGGCCCGACTAAATCCATCCGAATAAAATATATCGCATATATCCAAATATATATATACTTTAATGGTTAAAAACGCGAAATATATCAGTTAAAATAATGGTTATATTTCACGTTTTAAGTCGTTAAAGTGTTTTATTTAAATGCGTACTACTAGCGTAAGCTGCAGACAGTGTTTTTTATTAATTAGAAAAATAACTCTTGTCTTTGGAACCTAACGAGATAAATTCTATGAAGTTTAACAGTCATCTTGTTTAACCGATGTATTTCTTTAGGTATGTAATAAGAAAACTGGTGCAAGCAGGCCAGTACGATATCCGAACGCTTCTCTCAGATGAAAGTAGAGACGACTTTGACGCTGTTAAGAAGGATGCCTACCCCTACGGCTATGGCCCAAACTCCTTGCCCCATGTGGACCAAATCTCTTTAGTGGACGACAGCGCTAACTATCACAAGGATTATAACACTAAGTTCCATGCGAGGTTCAATCACGGTTAGTACTTTATTTTAAACTGATTTAAACGTGATTGATATTTATCACTACTTATTGATGTATTAAATAAAAGTTAAAATTAACTCACGTAACTATAATATAGGTATTACTTACTTACTTATAAAGGTCAGAGTTAAGAAATAAAATTGAAACTTTACAATGACTACCAGTTCTCAAATTAAGGGCGCAGAACGAACGCGAAGATTTGGCAAAAGACTCGCCGCCATTCTTTTTATCGACAAGTTTTATTTTACACACTGCACATACTTCGGTGTGTATTACATATTTTTTTCTTTTTAAAGCGTTTTTCTCCTACGTCAAGCATTTTCTCGTTCAAATATTGAATAACGCCAAAATAATCCTTTCCTTTTATCTACACGGAAACGATTATATTCCTCCCAAGCGAACTTAGTAGCTTTAGAATCATGATAAAAATGCAGATAATTCTTATCGTATCATGTTATATTCCAGATATTTACTCGGAAAAAACCCCCCTCCAGCCACCCACATCTAACGAGCCGACACCATACAACATAAAAGCCTACCAAGCGACGAACTTCTCCAAATTCGGTTTCCAGGGTTACCACAGCTCACCAAGCTACTGGAACCCCATAAGCGATTATAAAAGCCTGAAACAGAACAGCGTGACGCCGAACTTGGGGATCTATAATCCGAATTATTTTAATCCAAATTTTTATCAAGATTACGACGCGGAGTGGTTGCGGCAGGCGTCCAGTGGAGTCACCCAATATAATCCTAGTGAATGGTGGAAGTGAGTATTACTTCACTACATAGTATAAAACAAAGTCGCTCTTTCTGTCCCTATGTGCTTAAATCTTTAAAACAACGCAACGGATTTCGATGCGGTTTTTAATAGATAGAGTAATTCAAGAGGAAGCTTTTTATATACAACGATACCCGTTTTTCTGTAGTGTATTTAGTATCAGCAATGCACCCGAGTAAAGCTGGGGCGGGTCGCTAGTATATAATAAATTCTAATTTTGGTGACGACTGGTTGTTTTCATCTAAATCGGTTTTTTTAAATATAGTGTCAAGTTGAATCTTCTGGAGTAAATATCTATGTTCAAATTAATTATGTAACGCGTAAAGTCGTCGCATTGTTTTAATGCATTTTATGAAGAATAAAACACATTTTTTTATTTAAAAACTTTAGCCTAATGCCTTTTAACGGTTCAAAACGCGAAATATATAATTTAGGGATCGTGACCATGACTGCTGCGAAGCATCCGTACTTATTATACTAATAATTTAAAAATACGATAACTGTTATATTTCGTGATTTCAATCATAACACTGTTTTATTTCAATGTGTGTTTCTCGTTTAAATTACAGACGATACTTCAAATTATTAGTGGCCAGGTGGCAATAATATATTATCAAAAAATTGTCAAACCCGTTTTGCCGAATGCTAACAAACTAACAAATAAATCTTATCTTTAATTGACAAGACATACAATATTTAGTCGGGCATTCTTCTTCCTTTGAATCTATTTAAACTAAATATTAATAATGAAAAATATATAATATATTTCAGATACATAACGCCATCTAGATCTAGCGACGTAACGATCCAACGATCTCTTTCATTCCCAAATCATCCCCTGGGTCACGGAAGAAGGAAGCGAAATGCGGAATTGGTGCAGGCTTCAGCCAAGGGTCCATTGACAGGCGCGGAAGCTCTCCGTATAGCCTTAGGACTCGCCAGGTCAGCTTTTCAAAAACTTTAATAAAAATATAACTCTACTAATATATAAAACTGAAGGGTTTGTTTGTTTGAACGCGCTAATATCAGGAACCACTGGTTCGAATTGAAAAATCATTATCAATACTACCTAAGTCTTTTTCCCTTTCTTTTTTATGGCACTGGAATTGTCTTTGAAATGAGCTATATATACAAAAAATATAGAAGGATATAACCACAGACAATGTTCCTATTTTTATATTACGCTGGCATGAGATTTTCATTAAAGAAAGAAAAACACCACAGCTATATAAAATTGAAACTCAAAGACAAAATGAACTGGACGCTCTTACAAATACTTCTTCAAATTTTAAAATTACCTTTACTAACCAGATTATTTCGTCGTTAGTTTGCTTATAGTTATCTATTTCCTGTTTCATAAAGCGAAGACCCCTCAGCGGACAGACCGAGACGACAAGCAGCGAACACGATCAACTTGTGCCAAGTTCGAACCCAGTTCGTACAACCTCAGGCGGCACAGAACAACAAGGGGAACTGGCGATACGTGGTCAACATGCCTGATAATATGACACAGCTGGTTCGCGTTGAGACATGCGCGTGAGTTGATAAGAAATATATGTTTATCCTGAATCCGTGAGACAACGTTATTTTTTATTATTTATGTTTATTTAAAGTGGTAAGAAGTGTTTTAGTATTTTATTTTAGTATTAAAGTGATTCTTAACAAGATATTCAGTAAACTCATTGATTTATACGCCACCTCGTGGTTAATAGCAAAAGTAATGCATATTCAAAAAATAGAATTGTTATATTTATAAATTGCTTTATAAACATGAGCTACAATTTGAAAGGCAATTGTTGTTTTACATAATTTTAAATATCCCTAGGTCGTCAGAGTGTAGTGGCTTGTGCAGTATACCTCGTGGCTATTCGTCCAGATGTGAACAGAAATATATTCAGAAACGTTTGGTGGCTTTACAACCGAGTGGCCAAACACTCTACACAGACGTTTTTTGGATCCCCAGTTGTTGCCAATGTACTCTTATTAATAATAATTAATTATCTGTATTGTGATTTACTTTTAAGCTAAACATGTTGTGCTATTTGACAAAAGATGGCGTTGAACAATATAGCTTGCATGTGACAGTAGATGGCGCTAATTGTATATGAAAAGCTCTCTCGTGACTATATTTTTTAAATTCAATCATTATGTTTAAAATGTGTGGTTCCTTATAATTTAAATTGTATTTTTGTGCTATAAATTGCTGGATGTTTTTATTTTCAGTAGTAAGTAAATATAACGAAGTATTATTAAAATACGTGTATAAATTAGTTCAACAAGTTTAAATTTAATCTCAATATATATTTAATAGTTCCAATGCATTCTTCAACTTTGTAAGAATACGTTTGTTTTCTTATTTTTAAAGATCCGGAATTTAATGTGTAACAAGCCTAGAATATCTTACATATGTGTCTTATATATTTTGTTTTTATATTTAATGATCTCTCAGATTTTTTCTGAGTATTAATGTATTTTAAATAATAAATAGACGACTTGCATTTAAGTGCAATACTGTAAATACAATATAGATTGATATAAATAAATAGAGTAAAGGTTTTTATTTTAAGACCTACGATAGTTAAGATCGTCTAATGTTCCATTATTGATCGATGCCCAATGAATGAATAATGTACACTGTTAAATACTAACAAACAAAGAATACTGATTTTGATCTTGTCTTATAAGCGATCTCGTCCGTATCACCTTAAAAGAAAGAAGTTAGACTTAAATTCTGTCAATTAATATCCAAAACTACCATCGATATGAAATTTAAACTTTAGGTACCTACGTTCATGAGATTTTTTTGGGTGACTGAATATAAACAATTTATTGTATTATTTTTTGTAGATAACACTTACTTACGGTTTTAACCGCGAAATATAACAGTTAACTTATTTATAATTTCTTTTAACTACGGCCCGAAGTATGGAATGCTTTGCAGCAAACGTGGTCACCGTTGAAAGTTTTTATTAAAATATTTGTTTATTTCTGCATGTTGAAATAATATACCTAATAAAATACACCCGGGATTCGAACCCAGACAAGAAATTAGTGAAACTAGAGAAGGCGCCGGTCTTAATAGTTGTCATTTGAGCGCATGTCGCTTCGAATCCCTCCTATAACTTGTATTTTTTTATAACTCTTTAAGCTAGGTCGTCAAACCACAATAGTTTATCCATTGCTTTCAATTGTGTTATATTAAGAGTAATCTTCGTGGAGAATTTATTGAATTTTCGCCAAAGTTTTTGTGAAATTGACATATTTTCCGGGATCGAGTTAACAGCTCCGTTTAAGGGGTGAAAATCGCCACATCTGCGAGGGATGGCTTTCCCGGGGTTAGTCCTACCTTAACAAGCTTCCCCTTAAGCCACAACATTTATTTACTTCAAGAATACAACGAGGACATGACCAAAATTCGCCATATGTTTCTTCAAACCACATTTTTTTATAAGCTTACAAAATAAAAGACTTAAAAAAAATTAAAACAGCTCCCAACATAATTACTTCACCATTAAAATATAATTATTAAACAATTTCATCTATGATATAAATAATAATTTTAAAGCGACCATAAATTACGAATCAAATGCACGATACTGGAGAAGTAACTTTAAAAAGGAGATGTAGTAGTTACGAATGATTACATTAAAAAGTTTTATTATAATAAGAAAAACATGTATAAGTCTTAGAACCCTTTATTTCTATAGGATATTTAGAAATAAGCATGTACGCACTATTGCACTGTCAATTAATGCATATCTCGCATACAAAGACATCTTAAAAAATAATGGCTCGTTGTCAACGCAAAACAAAAAAATACACCACAGCGACTACAATGAACTTGAGAACAGTTGTTAGAAGCGCCAAAACTCTCGCTTCGAAATAAAAATTAACGCAAAAAGCTCGACACGCGTAAAATGAAAGAGGAAGCAGGGAAAAAATCAATGCTTGCGTTTTATGTTCTGTGCGTGTGACAGATCGGTTGTCATGACGACCACGACGGGGGAAAATTTGGCGCGAAAGAACGTTCTATGTGCGCGGGGTGAAATCAAAATGGCGTTCCGAGTCGCGCATAGAGTATAGAACGGGACGCGTTCGGTTTTACGCTCTTACGCTTCTGGAGCGCAAAGTGCGTTGTGCGAGAGAGACAGGGGATGGGGTAAGGACGGTGATCAATATTACGCACTTTTGTAGCAATGAAATTGGCACGACACGATGCAAGAACGCGGTTTGCACGCGTTGCAGCCCGTTTTAATTTTTGATTTTGCGCGGACACTTGGAATATGAGTGCGTAAGGAATTATATATTGTTTTAAAATGCATTTGTTGTTTCTCTTAGATATAAATCATAGAATGATAATAAATTATAAGCAGAGAGGATATAAAGATAAAGAAATGGACAATCACTAATATATACATAGTAAGAAAATAAATCGACTATACCTACATTCGTAATACTTACGAAATTATAAATCTAAAAGATTTTGGTGTTTACTTCGCTTTTGTCGATGAGTTATGTGTAAGAAATTTTAATAGGTACACAAAATAGTATATGATTGACATTATTGTGTTTGCTGGATTTTCTTCATAAATTATATTAAAATGAATATATATATACGATTAATGTGTGTATTTCTTGTAAAAGAACATTTGGACGTACATATTAAATGAATGACGTAACAGATGGCCTGTCTGTGACGAATATGGGAAAAATAATGGTATTAGAAGAAAAAGTGAGTGTGCGGTAAAATTTTGATGAGTCATAACATCGGGCGCGAAACAATTGCCGGATGACTGTGAAAAGTAATTTAAAGAATCGAATTTTTAATCAAATAATACGTTGTTTATTTTATAGTGTCAAATGTTTCCCCAGCATATGGAGTTCGTTGAATTTGTAATTTGGTTAGAAATAGCAACGCATTTTTTTTAATTTTAACGAAACAGATTATGATTTTTTTGTTCGTCTAATGGCAATGTATGGCTAATAATCAACGGGCTGTGGATTCAATTCCTACCGAGTCCAACGTGTTTCTAATAAATTCATAATTTTTCTAAAACATGGTGGACTTCGATTGGAAATCTGGATATTAAATGGCTTGCAGATATCCAATTTCATCCTAGTCATAAACCACCGTTACTCATGAAAAAGCTTCAAGTTTGATCGCGTTTCGGTTTCAGTCTTATCCAAAGACAAAATAGGTCGACAGCGCAACTTGTTAAGATGTTATATGGCTGGGGAATTTGTCTAACCTACCATCAAGGGAACCCCATGATTGTTTGTCCACCTCTAGCATAAGAAATCATATACTATCTATAGTTTACGCGAGTAGTACACATTTAAATAAAACTTATTTGAAAATGATTTTAACTTCGGCCCGACGTTTCGAATGCTTTGCAGCAGCCGTAGTCACGGAGAGACCCGTGTTTTTAATAAAAAAATTAAATAAAAAATCATTATAATTATAACAAAGTCTGTTTTGACACATTTCATATACCTTTTAAGTTTAAATTCTGATACTTTATAAAATTACGTCGACAAGAGAAATTAATTTGTAACGCATGCGCACCTTTGCTCGCGCTTTCTACTAATTTTTCAAAGCTCATTCCGTATAAAATTATTATTTACGTTCATGCAATAACTAATTAATAACAACGGAACATTATATATATCAAAACACCGAATCTACCTCGTTATTTGTAGATTTTCGATAACGCGTAATATTTAAGTTTCGTGTATACGACATAGTTCATGCACGTAAGCAAATTCTTTTCGTTTGTTTTTCCTTGCATATTCTAAGAAATATTTCTCATGTATTGTCTGTAGTTTACGCGAGTTCTCCACATATATAATAAAACACATTTAACGGTTTTACAATTTATATTAACTACGGTCCGATCTTTCGGATCCTTTGCCGCTGCAAAGGACCGAAGATCAAAAAATAGTTCCAATCCCAGCGGGATTTTTTGTATGTTTGTGTTTTGGTTGCCCCTTTTTCTATATTTTTTGCATCTTTTCGATTGTGATTTGATAAATGTGCTAATTGTAGCTTTTAGAAGTCTTTAGCATAAAAACCATATATCGATAAAAATTAGTGTGAAATAAAAATAAGATACAGCTTTTAAAAATGCATTCAACTTTCGGTACTACTGTGGAGAGAATATGAAGGGCAAGACATATATCTGTCGTGTATGTTTTGAGATTTGTCGCATCTTTCTAACAACGAACCCAAGTCGTAATTAACTTTATAACAATTATTAAAAACGCTTAACAGTTCGGATATTAATTAAAATTTTTGCACAACAATGTCTTTAGGTAAATTTTATATAAGTCCTTGCTTTTATATTGTCTCCATGCTTATTGTCCCCTATCGCTAATTAGCAAGAGATTAATTAACCCTCATTAAAGAACCAAAACATTGACTTATTGTGTAATATGATACGAGGTGATAACGAGGGTGTTAAATAGGTGACAGGGATCAGGTCAGCTCGTCAAGTGTACCGTTAGTCCATGGGGCACCTCAGATCGGCGGAAGGGGACAAGAATGTAGGTGAATGCTATGCACTGGGGTCTAACCCTCTTGCACCTTACGATCTGCAAAACAATCGGAAATACCAACCTGCCGCGAATGGGGCTAGACCCTCGCGAAAATGACTAAATAATAACATTATCAGCAGCAGGTTTCCGGAAACGTATTGCCGGATATGATTTTATCTGCGACGAGAGCGAATCTTTAAGAAATTTTCGGAATAAACATCGCAACGTCGTTTGCACTCGTGTAGAGTGCTTTTACAATGTTCGAATTTCGAATGCGAGGAAATTGAATTCGTGCAACGTACTTCGACATATTTCGAAATTGGAAAACGCGTCGTATTCCGGAACGTTCGAAATTCGAAAGCGCGTTGCGTATCGCGAAAATGAAAAACGACGTACGCTCGTAGTGCGTATAAAACGCGTGTTTAACTCGTGCGCGCCAACGGATCGATAACGAAAGCTTCGC